TGAGCCCTCCCGGGGGCTGGGGAGGGCCCCGGGCCCAGCCCTCGGTCCCGGGACACCAAAATAACGTCCAAACCCCATCACCGGCCATAGGGGCTTGAAGCGGTTCACTCCCTTTTGGCTGTGAGACAGTAATCACTCCAGCAGCCCATTGGACTTCACTGGAGACAGAGCCAGGCCAGCTGGACAGGGAGGGGAACAAGGCACTGAGAACATGAGACATTGCTGGAGAGGGAAGCAGAGATCCCCATCAGTCTCCTGTTTTCTACGTGCCACCCCTGTTCCCCCCCCCACCCAAAAAAACAAACAAAAAAAGCAACAAAAAAAGAATCAATGGTTTAGGGTCAGGCAGGCCAGTTCTCAATGGTGCAAGTTGGTGAAACTCTTCAACAGAAGGTGCTTTATATGTGGTCTTTAACTTCCCCTCCACCACCATGTCCTTCACAAACTGAAAGAGTACCTGAGGTGCTTCCTTTGGAAAAGCAGTAAAGATAGTTTTTTATGTATCTGGGCAAAGCTGAGGACAACAATCACCTTAGAGAAAAAGAATGTAGGCCAATCCTCATTCAGTTCACGTAGTGTAGTCTGCCTTTGGGACTTTTTTTAAAAGAGTAACAGGGCAGCCACAGATCTACAAAGGACAAATCAATGCCTGAAGTAGCAGTTTCAGTAAACAAAGTAAACAAAGCTACTTGTGTGTCCATAGAAGCAGCACTGAAAACAGTGATTCAACCATACCTCAAGATGAAAGAGGCTTTAGAAAAGAGATAACTGAGTATTTGATAGTCATGCACTTCTGACTTCAGCCCATAATACACACAGGGACTATCGCTTCATGCTAGCTTCCAGCTAATAACTTTTGAAAGTCCTGCTTGTAAAAATACCAACAGCAGGAAAGGTGCTACAGCACTAGACAGGATACTTTTCACACAAAGCCTTTGGGCTTGCACACACTTTGCTCTAAGGCTTATTTCAAATATTACAGGGTCACCATGAGCACTCTCTTGATTTTACTGCAGAAAAAAGAATTTTTGTCCCAGTTTCCAGCTAACTAACTGACTTTTATGTTCCACTCATACAATCCATTCCCACCACATTCATAACAAAGTTTGGGGCTAAAAGAGAGGAGAGCAGAACTCATAACAGCTACGTGCAGAACAGCAGGACCACAGTGATCATCTTCCAATTTCTAGTCTGCCAACTTCAAACATTAAGAAGTGTGAGATCTGTTTGGATGTTCAGTGGACACACAGGCTGAATGCTGAAGATCAAGTATTAGATCTCAACAGGGTGCTGATGACAGTATGTTATCTACAAAAAGCCATGCAACACAGGGCATTTCCTTGCGCTAATGAGCAGCCAGGAGGAACAGGGACCATTTAAACCCCCACGAATGGCCTGGATCAGGCTTTTTGCCTTAACAACCAAACCTGACTTTCACTTTCAGGCCCCTGCCAGTTCTTCTCCTGTGCCTCACTGGCTGCTTTCTGCCATCTGCCTAGAGGCTTTCCCATAAAATGGTGCAGCAACAGCTTTACTGGATTCTGACCTTAGCCTTGCTTATGCCTAAGCTGGCTGCTTCCTAGTGCCAGGACTGAGGCAGTGGCAGCTCATCATGTCCCACTTCTAAGAGCACTGAAATATTACATGCAGCTGGTATGTCACACACCTACTTTTCCAGCCAGAGGCCAGGCCAGCAGTGTAGTCTCAGTTATCTTGCCAATTCAGTCAAGCTTCTCTGCCACACCAACGTAAATCTGGAGAATTTTGTACTCAAGAATTCTAGAGGTCAAAATCAGCAAATACGACCTCAGCAAACAGACACCACTTTGTCAGAGACAGAATCTTATGAGTATCTGTTATTTCACTCAATCTCATTTTCAAGATTTCCCTAGGTTCTGTTGGAGGAGACCTCCCCACTTCTTCTACAGGTGTAGGCTGCTAAGGAGATGGAACAGTACAGTGACTGAAAGCATTTCCAATTACCACCACATTGAATCATCTGCAATTCAATGAAAGACACATGCAGTCTGGGCTTAGGGGCTGTCATGCGTGTCTTTGTAACAGCCACACAAATAACTCACACAAAGCCTTCCCCTAGAAAAAAAAAGAAAAAACAACAGGTCTCATGGGAAAGGAGTAATGAAAGAAAATGAGATTTGCCTCAGCTGAGAAGGGTGATTTCAGACTCCATTACACACTGCACATGGCAGCCTTGCAGAACAGAGCACCACAATCGGTGCCTTAGACAGCATCTTCTGTGTCCAAGTTTTTTTACTGAGGGCTTGTGGCTTCAAAAAGTGATTTTAAACCTGAGCTGGGGAGAAGGCAAACATGAATTTGTTTATTTGGCCCTCTCACCCCAAGGAGCAACAGTGGAGCATCAGTGCTAACAAGCTAAGTGTTATCAGGCAAGAATTTTGCCTTGGAAATCCATCTCCATCCAGAATTCAGAGACAGAAGCTTTAAGCCGTGTTTTTCTCCATGTACAACTACAGCACTCCCTGTTGAAGGGCCACTCTGAACATACTCCCAGAACCTTGTCTGGCCACACACACCTGGATTTCTTTCCAGAAAATAAACTAGAGAAAGGGAGAGGAGCAGGGAAGGAAAACTGAAAGGAATGCATGCTCTGACCTAGCGCTGACAACAGAGGTGGGACACAGCCAGGGTACGATCCCAGATCTCACAATACAGATAAGCACAAGTTATGTGCCTGCAAGGTCAATGAACTCTGTGTCTCGTACTGTGCAATAGATAAACCACCCAACAGACAAGCTGAAGCTTTCTGACACAACAACTTGAGCATTGAGTACATCCAGACTGTGGACATAGAGGCTTACTCCTGATGTGAAAAGCACCTGCTGCCCCACCCACTCCCCTCAAAATGGCTGGACACCCAGCACTCCCTGGAAAAAAAGTTACTATCCACTCCCTGTCAGACACTGGCAAGTGCAGAAGCACATCAGCCTCACTTGAGTCCCCCAAAAAGAGCTGGGGAGGTTTCAGGTCAGAAGTACATGAGGAAACTTGAGGAAAGATGTCTACACACGGCCAGATTTGGGTGGTGTGCTGCCTGCATTGGGTGTCAGAGGAGAAAGTGTCAAATCCCCAGCTCAGCCTCTCCAAGCATGGCAGAGGGTCTTAAACGGTGTTCTGAGCTACATCTTTGAGGGGGATCCAGCTGCAGGACAGGGCAAGCACACAGAGATGTAAAGAGGTTGCCTCTGGGTTGCACTCATGGCTCTGGTTTGTTTTGGCAGTAGCAGAGAAGCCAGCACCGTACACCAACGTGATCATGCCCAGTCTCTTCAGCATCATCTGTTTCCTGGGCATCGTGGGGAACCTCATTGTCATCTACACTATCGTCAAGAAGAAGAAGCTGAGATGCAAACAGACTGTGCCTGACATTTTCATCTTCAACCTCTCCATTGTGGACCTCCTCTTCCTCTTGGGCATGCCCTTCCTCATCCACCAGCTCCTAGGCAATGGCTCCTGGTACTTTGGAGCTCCCCTATGCACCATCATCACTGCCCTGGACACCAACAGTCAGATCACCAGCACCAACATCCTTACAGTGATGACACTGGACCGGTACCTGGCGACTGTCTACCCTCTAAAATCTACCTATGTCCGGACCCCGTGTGTTGCAGCTCTAGTTATCTGCTTGGTGTGGCTCCTCTCCTTCCTGACCATCATTCCTGTGTGGATGTACGCAGGTCTCATGCCTCTGGAGGATGGGACTGTCCGCTGTGCTCTCTTGCTTCCCAACCCAGAGACCGATATCTACTGGTTCACCCTCTACCAGTTCATGCTGGCATTCGCTGTGCCACTGATTGTGATCTGTGTGGTCTATTTTAAGATCCTCCAGCACATGGCCACCACTGTGGTCCCATTGCCCCAGAGGAGCCTCCGGATACGTACCAAGAAAGTCACCCGCATGGCAGTTGCCATCTGCTCTGCCTTTTTTATTTGTTGGGCTCCCTTCTACATCCTCCAGCTGGTTCACCTCGGCATCGAGACACCATCCATGGCCTTCTTCTATGCCTACAACTTTGCCATTAGCTTGGGCTATGCCAACAGCTGCCTCAATCCCTTCCTCTATATTGCCCTCAGCGAGACCTTCAAACGCCAGTTCTTAGTGGCCATCCGCCCTGCAAAAGAACCATGTCGCAACAGCAGCTCTGTCAACAATAACAGCATGACGGAGGCTAGTGTATGTCTAAAACTGGCACCAGAATCCACCCAGCAGACCCAGTTTCTGGAAGACTTTTCCCCACGTTCACTGCCTGTGACTGTGGCTGTTCACTAGGGCACTCTGAAGTGATTGCAGCAAAAAGCCTTCAGATCCACAAGCCGATGGAGAAGCAGCAGCTTCAGGCAATTCTTGTGAAGCATATGAACTACCAGCTTCCACCTCCAAGAGTCCAGGTGCGTCCCTTTTCATTGCAGGGCTCTGCTCCTACACCGCCCTTGGCCCATGAGATGCCGCATACTGCTGCTTCTGTCCACTCCTGCAAGGGAGGACTATCACACAAGACACCAGGCCCCCAGAGAGGTTGGAGGGAAAAAAGAGAAAGGACGTAAAGAGAATTTCAAGGGAGAAGGTCCACCCTGGAAGAGTAAAACCTGTATCAACACCACTGCCCAGTGATTCTCAGCCTGAGCAGGATTCCTCAGTAGCCTGCTGATACAGAGCTGCTTCATTCAAAACTTCAGCCTCTGAAACCAAATGTCATATATTTATTTTTGGTAAGAAATCTAACCTGCAAGCTTTGGTGGCTGTGTCCATATCCTAGAAGCAAACAGCAGAGGAAGATCCTGGGGCCAGCAGTCTCACCTAGGTCTGCCACTCGGCCTTTTGGTCCAGCCCCATCTGTCTCCAGTGGGCTGTGTTGTTTGGCAACCAAGAAATTTTCAAGAGCTGGCTGATTTCAATGCTAATTCTAAATATTTCAAGCAAAACCAGGCAGAAAATTCTTCTGCTTCCAGCAACTGCTGCTGACACCAGCTTTATGGCTTTTCATGCCAATGAGCCTATTTTCACGCTGCTAGTTCCTCATGCTGCTCTTGTGCCTCACAGTCTGCATGGCCATCAGGGAACCCCAGGCAGAGGGTTTTAAACACGACTAAAAACACAACGTGCAGAGATCTGTGGAGCGAGAAGATGTGAAAAGGCAGCTCAGAGGAAGCAGAGTTGCTTATGCAGCTTTCTCAAAATAACAAGTGCTTTACCAAGTTGAAAGAGGGAAAACTAAATGTCTGTTTTGTATATGGAGCTTCAACAGTCGCAGATTAGGAAATAGCTTTGCTCATTGCAAAGATTAGAGAGAAGACAGCACAGATCAGCTGAACGCGGGGGATTACACGGATAGCCCGCGCAGGGCTCCCAGGGGATGGTGCAGGCATTGTTCAACACTTTGTCAAACACGGAGGGACTTGTTACTGTAGATTAACTTAACATAAAGAAGAATTAAAAACATCAAACAGCATAACAGATTCTGTTACCCTGCTTATGGTTTCATGCCACCAGCTACCCACACTATACCCAGAACAGAAATTCACCCTCACACAGCAGAGCTGTCACCTGCACAGGACTTTGAGCCCCATGCACACTGGCAGGTGCTCCTAGCGCACACCCCCCTCGCTCGCGGGTGTTTAAGCACAGCCGGTATCTCCGTCTATACCCTGCAGAGCACACACGGCCATTCGCTCACCTCCGGCCATCAAAGCAGGCCGGTGTGCAGCACCTGCACCTTCGGCAACATCAGATGCAGCGCCTTGCTTTAAGTCACTGAACAAACCTCATGGCAGGGTTTCTCTGTATTTTCATTCCAGGCTCTGTCAGCCCACACCCACCACAGCAGCACATCCACACCATGACTGTACGGTATCTTATCAATTTTTCACCAGTTTACCTGGCAATAAAGCCAGACAGACACATATGGATCTTGCAAACTTTATGACTTTAAAAATCTTTGCCCCATTTTAATTGCCAGGAATTCACACCTGTGCTGGTGTTCACAGAGCTGCTTTGCTCTTTGGCCAGTACTCTCCTGAAGGTTTCGGGAGTGAAGGTCGAGGAAACACACGCTGTGCCAGCCAGCCTTGCTCTCGGGACAAGGGAAGCTATTGTGTTACCTTTCTCCCATAAGGAAGTTCAGGGGAGGACTGGCACACTTCTTGGTGAAAGGAGGTGGGAATGGTTGGGTGGGTTTTATTTTCATTCTTTAACACCAGCAATAAGGAAAGTATGAGGGAAGTGAGAACAGACGGAATTGTCTGGGCTCTCAGAGCACCGCACATTGAAGATATTATCTTGCTTACAGTAAAGGTGTTTAGGTCGAACTAGTCTGTTCCCGTCTTAAGTGAGTCAGTCTGACCCGGTGTGGCCAAGCCACGTGCTAAAATCCAGGAGGCACCGTGGGCTAACCAAGAGGGGTGGGCAGCAGCAGCTGGCACAACGCTGGGAAGGGTCTTCATGGGGCAAACCTTTTCCAGATCTCATCACACTGAAGTCAAGGCACAGCACACAGGCATCTTCACAGGCTGAAGTCTTTTTAAATTTCATTTACATGAGGGGGAAAGCCATGCTAGAGAGACCTGGTCCCAACACCGGGGACAAGGCTTCCCATTTAGCTGGTGTCCCAGCAGAGGCACCTGCCCCTTCCCACTGCCTTGCAAAGGCTCATGGCTCCCAGTCCCTCATGTTCCTCCTGCCTGTCCCCAGGGGGTTTCCCAGTCCAGATGTCTAAATGCTGGCTGTGAGGTCCCCTCCCTTTCCGTATATACCCATAAAAGCTCTGGAAAATGCACCTTGGGAACACAAGGATGTGGTTACCCATGGATGTGCTGGGAGGTTGGGAAGAGAGGCACAGACACAGCAAACCAGCAAAGAACACAGACAGCTTTTTGCCATCTTCCCTAAATCACCCCAAAGCATGGGGCAAGATGAACAGGAGCCTCTCCTTCAAACACAAACATTTTGATCAAAGATCTTCAGAGGTGTCTCCCTACCTAGGGGGTAAGGTAAGGACTTCCAGTAGCTACACAGCTTCTGTGCACCTTGGTGTGACCTATTCCAAGCATCCTCCCCCTTTCCCTATTTTTCAGAGCTGCCTTTGTTAAGTTGGAGAGCCTGTTGACGGTCTGGTTTGTGTTCAACTTCACCTCTTTGTCTATTCTGTTCTTTGTATTTATTATGTGATCCCCCACATCTCAGTGCCTCAGTTATTGATTGCAGAGCCTGAATAAAAGGCATCACTAAGCAGAAAAGGACACAGCTACTCCTGCAGAGACAGGCAGCTGAAGTGCTGCGAGGTCCATCTGAAAGGCACGGTGAGAAGGGCACAGAGATAACGCTGTGTGTTTCCTGCAGTCCTGCCTCCCATACACAGAGACAAACTAAGGGAAATCCAGCTAGATAACTGAGGAAAAACACCCCCAAAACCAAAAGGTGATAGAAAGAAACTATTCCATTGTTGTGGTTTCATAACGTCCATCTAGTTGTTCCAATTAACAGCCTGCCACACTGGATGAGACAAATTTCCTCGGCTCCTTTTGCCAGCACTTGTGTGTTCGCGAGCTGCCTCGTCAGACAGCAGGAAGACAGATGGGCTCAGCTCCCCTCCCTCTTCCCCTCCTTGTCCTCAGAGGTGTGACTGAAGCCACATCTCACAGCTCTGCTCCTGATAAACTCCCACAAAGGGCAGATGGTCCAATTACTTTTACTACAACTTTCCCAGCCAGGAGTAGAGACCTCTCCGCTGGTTGCTGCAGGATTCAGTCCCTGGCTCACCCCTCTCAGTTCCCTCTTTTCCACTATCCCCGTCCCCACCAGGCAGTTATAACTCTGCCAAACCATCCCTAAGGGAGTCTGTGTCCCCAGAGCCCTGCCAGGCAGCGGGCTGGTGACATCCTTCCCCACCTGAACTCTGCACAGCAAAACCCGCCCAGGAGCAAACTGCATCGTGATGGAGAGTGAGCACAACGCTGGTGGCTACTGGTGGGGAGGAGGGAAAGGTGGGGTGACTCACTGGCCCCTGGGACACAGCCAGAACCTGAGTAATCGTGTTTCATCAATCCTCCTGAGCTGCTAATTGGACGCATTTAATTCAACAGACTCACCGGTGGGAGAGGAGCCACGTGGCAGGTACAGATACATTCCCAGCCCACTCGCTTTGCATTAGTCCTTCTGCCAGACACAGGGGCCACACAGCAATGCTCTTTCTCACTGACCTCCCCCATTAGCAAAGCAACACAGCTAAACCCTCACACCCACCCTGCAGCCTTTCCACTTGCTCCAGCCTTGCTGCAGGGCTGGGGAGGAGACAGCACACAGGAAAGTTTCATCAACAGCAGAGAAGTAAAAGGGGAGGGATGTCTCATCTACAGCCCCCATCTCCCATGGGAGGACTCCTCCAGCAGATGGGGGCCCTTTGGTTCCTCCAGGAAACAGAAAATACATTTTGAAGCTGTATTTACAGGGCAGCATTGGAACAAGGAACTCACTGCACCACTGGAGGGAAAACCTTTGTTAAGAGGTGTACTCCCTGATTGCAAGACATCACAAGAGATGATAGCTGTTCTTAGAGCCTCTGGGACCTACCCATACCCTGTTTGAGAAACAGCTCCTACAGTCATACAGGACCCCATAGCTGTTCCTCTCACAGCATCTCTCTACCAGTACAGTTGTGCTGGCTATGGAAGTTGTCACTCCCGACCTCCCAGTCTGGCTCATGAGAGAGCAGCAGCACTGGCTTGTCCCAAAGGGTAGAGATGGGCTTCAATAACTGCAAAGTTACACCTGGCAAGTGGCTTACTTCAGTGTGACGCATGATGGTGCACATAGAGTGGTACTTCCATAAGCCCTGCTGGACATACTAAGGACAAGTGTGTCAGAAAAGCCTCCAGGGTCAACAGCTCAGTACCTTTCACCATCTCTACATGCTGCTGCAGCAATGTCAACACTCCCCAGGGTAAAGCCTTCGTACGAAGGATTCCTCCTCCAAAGCGATGTCAGTACATCAGCATCATCCTCCCGAAGCACAGCAGCTGAACTTCACAAACACCACCAAAGGCTCAAGGCCCCGTCCTGCAGATCCATCCCAGGCTGGTCCCCTGGAAACAAGAGCCAGGTTCTGCCCATCACACCAGGGTGAGCTTGGGTTTACACCCCAGCAGTCAGTGGGGCTTTAGCACAACAGGAAGCAGACCCTACCCCAGGTACTGGCTGTCATCATCTGGCACCGCATGAGGAAAGGAGATCTGCAGGGTCTGGCTCCACAGAAAGGAGATTTTGCCTTTGGGGCA